AGATGCTCTCAGATCTACTCAGATAGTTGTTCAAGAAACTTTGTTTCTGCTGCTGAAGAAAAAGGTGCTGATCTGAAGGTACTGATTTAGTGCTGCAGGACATTTGGTTTAGGAAACCCGAATGAATAAAAATTAATGCACATAAATTTAATGACTAATTGACTGGTCTCAAGAGTGAAGTGTAAATGGGAGACATTAAGTGGGTTTCTGGTTTGGTCCCATGGGAACTGTGTTTTGGCCATGTGCTGTATAACAGCTTTACAGAATACCAAAAAAAAAAAAATTTTAAAAAAAATGGTTGGTACCACTGGGAGATAACAAAGAGCAGGAAAGCAGTAACTCACCAAAGGGTCAGCTCCTTGGTACTGAGCAAGCTGATTTCTTGGTATATTGGCTGCAAGCCAGCATATGAAGTTATACATCAAAGAACCAAGAGCGGGTGTTGATCCTGGAGTGGAGGAATCTGTGTGAGAAAACAGAGTGGAGAGCAGGTCTGCTGGGAGCCCGCTAAGACTAAACCAGATAAAGGTGGGCAGGGCACAAATTCCATCCACACCTGTGAAAACACCAGGATGAGGGCAGTGAGGACACTGCAGGCAGTTGAAGGGCATCAGTACCTGGCACCCGAGTGACCGTTTCTGGAACAGTGTCCCCCATTTGATGCCTTCGCTGAAGATGCGTGTGGATAAATTGGAAAGAGTTCAGGGAAGGGTCACAAGAATGATTACAGTGTAATTGGAAAATAAAAGCTACAGCTATTTAGTTTATCAAAACAAAGGTTAAGGAGAGACTTGATCATAGCATTTTTAATTTTTATTTTTCTCAGCAGATTGAAACATGCATCCTCAAACTTTTAAACTTTTAACCTTCTTTCTTCCCCCCACCCCCACCCCAGTTTTATGTATCTTAGTATCCAAAAGTTCCATAAAACGTCAGTTTTGAGACATAGTGAAAATTAGATCCAGAGATGAGATTTTTCTAGGTAGAATATTCACTACCTTTCAATTAGTGATTTAATTCACTTAAGTAACCTGTTTAGATATCAGTAGAAAAGAAAAAAAGGTTTAGCAAAGTGGAAAAGAAAGGGGAGGGAAAACAGCAGGTTTAAAAAAAACCATTAACACTGTAGCAAAAGAATTCAAAAACCAGTCTCTCATTAAAATGAAAAGATCATTTTAGCAACCTTCGATTAATTTACACCACACTAGGCACAATACGAGGCTGCGAATAAGTTCTGCATTTACCTTAAACTGCATATTATTTCTAGATCAGAAGCATATAATTCAGCATATTCTATTAAAAAGGCTCCATGTAATGGTTTACTTACAGAATCTACGAATTCAACTGTCCACATACCTTGCACCAGCCTATATAAGCTCATCAATCCAAGGACATCAGTTCTGATTTAATAAAGACATCTAGAAGAGCAGCAGCTGATGTGAAAAATGACAGCCACTAGTGCTTGAACAGGCCCTAGACAGAAAACTAGAAGACTCATAAAATACTGGGGGATTCTGAAGTGATTTTTGAAAACATAGAACCTAATTAAGCTTTGACTGAAGGCTATGGGTGTTAGGTAATTGGTTTAGCCAAGGAGAAGAGAAGGCCCAGAACGGCATATTCCAGCTGATCCCATACTAATTTCATATTAGTTCAGCTTCATGTATTTACTGGAGGAACCAACAAGAATGAGAATGGAATCAGCCCAGTGGTATAGGATCCATAAGAAGTTTTTAAGATGAATTTTCGGAATGGTTACCATTTTGGTGGCAAAATTTTGTTCTTTCTACTGTAACTTCTTACCCTCCAGAAGAGGTAGGAAGCGGTATAAGTATAACCAAAGTGATCCTCCAGGCTCACCCCCGTACCACGCAGAGCTGCCCAGACCTTCAGGAACAGGCAGTCCTCTGGAGTTCAAATCCCTGTTCCCATTTCCATGAACTTTTTTTGCATCCTGTGTTATTTTCTAAGGCAGTGAAACCACTTCATTTCCGTCCACACTCTTGATCAGATACTGTTAAATGACAAACATCTAACCTTCTAACAGCCGCCTTTATGTTGCCTACATACCCGAAATGACAAATAACCCAGCTTTGTATGCAGTTAATATATTCTTAATCCTTTGTTGCTGATGTTCTTCAGAGCCTTTGAGAAGCACCCACCTGTGACCCTGTTTCGATATGGGGATTTTGCCAAAGGCAAATGCATAACAAATTACTTCAAGAAGGAGGTACCATATTATTAGATCCAAAAATACCTTTTCCAGATCCATTTCACACATTCAGACTGACAGATTTCCTAAATGGCCGGGTTTTTTTTAGGTGGTAATTTCTGCAACATAGAATTTGATTTTCTGCAACAAAAATCAGGTTAGCTTGAAATTACTCATTTTTTGAACGATAATTTCGATGTGCATAACGCTAATAGTTTTATGGCAGAACAGTCAGAATTTTTATGTTCTGTTAGCATTGTCTAACTGAGCAAAATGCCTGGGAGCCTACACTAAAAACCAAATGTCTCAAACAAGACTTTGCACAAAATTTTTTCACATTCCTGAGGAAGATGCCATGGAAAGCATGTGAAAGAAAAGACTTTTCTTCATCACTCCAGGACATTGGATGAGATACTAAATTACCCATAAATGTTGAAAATATAAAAATATACATGCTGAAAGCCTATACATGGAATTTTTCTGAGACAACAATAACACAGCTGATTTTTTTTAATAAACTAAAAAAAGAATTATAATAATAAAAACAACAAAATGCCAAAACCACACATCTGTCTTCCTAAGTAGAATGGCATCTTCCATTAGCCCTCCTTAGGAAAGATCTTCTTTTAAGAAAATGCCTATTTAATTTAATTCAGTCTTCCTTTTGTCAAGCTTCATCTAGAGTCTTTTAAAAGCAATTATATTTCATATCTTTTGATTAGGACATTGAAGCCTACTCTATTTTTTACTCAATCAAAATTAAGATGCTGTGCTTTTCAATGAATTTACATTTGGTTGTATTAAAATCTTAGCAAGAGAAAGTAGGGGTAAAGCCACATCCAGAGTTCATGGGAGGATGAGAGGGACTGCAGATGAATGCCGATTGAACTCTCCGGCGCAGACTAAGGTCTTAAACATATGAGAAGTGGCAATTCAGTGACGTTACTGGAGCTTCCCTAAGTGGGAACTACTGTATTCATAGAAAATGGAGCTGGAAAGGATCTTAAGCTGTTTAATCCAAACTTCTTTCCAGAGATACTTCAGCTGACATGGAGAATAGGCCATCCATCAGTGGACTGCTACGAGGGGACATTAGTGAATGCCCTACAAGTGGAAGCTGCTGGGAGTAACTGGGTAACTCGGGCAACTGCCACATCCTATTTGTCAGAAGATCATGGCACTCCCCCTGGGGCAGCGTTTAGCAGTTTGGGGAATGAACAAGGACTGGAAACCTCTCCAAGAGAAAGGAAATTGTCTACATTACAAGTTGGAGGCAGAGCAGAGGAAAAAGAGGGCAGTCACCTACAGAAGCAGCAAAATGAGGAATATGGCTGCAAGTGAGAGGGCGAGCCTTGTCAAACTGATATTGATCCACAAATCACATACAAGGGGGAGAAGCTTCTTAAAAGACTCCTGAGAAGAGCTATCCTGTGTCTAAAAAAACCTGAGATACGGAAGGCACTTGCTCACTGCTGTTCATAAGCTTGCACTTACGCAACCGATTCCTGTTCGGGTGTGCATCTACATGGATCTTGTGTTAGAAGAGATAACCAAAAATTAAAGTATAATTGGAACACCAAGCTTAATATAGGACAGTTAAGTAACTGAAATAATCTACTCTGACTTCCAGTATGCTACAGAATATCACAAAAACTACCTCCTCCTTAGCACTCCTCAGAGCACATCGAGAATAATGTATCCTCTTTGGGGCTCCCCAGTAAAAGAGAGATGTTGATAAACTGGAGTGAGTGGAGTGGACAGCTACAAAGATGGTCAGGGATGAGAGCACTTGCCCTTGAGGAGAGGTTGAGGGAAATGGGCTTGTTCAGCCTGTGGCAGGCTTAGAGGGGACATAATTTAGGAAGAATTACTTTACTGAGAGGGTGGTCAGGCACTGGAACAGCCTGCCCAGGGAGGGGGTGGAGTCACCATCCCTGGAGGTATTTAAGAAACGTGTAGACATGGCTCTTCAGGGCATGCTCTAGTGCCCGCAATTATTGGTTTGTGGGTGGGTGTGATGTGGTGGGGTGTTGTGTATGATGTTGTTGTTTGTTTGTTTGTTTGTGTTTGGACTCGATGATCTCAGAGGTCCCTTCCAACCACGATGATTCTGTGATTTTGTGATAATAGCAGCTCTCCACTGCTTGTGAGGAGGTTATCAGGAAGATGGAGCCAGGCTCTTCACAACAAAATTGAGGCAAGGGAGATGCTGAATAGAGGAAAACCCTTTTTCACCACGAGACCAGCCAAGCAGAGGTTGCCCAGAGAGGCTACGCAGTCTCCATCCCTGGAGGTTTCACAAGATGAGACTAGACAAAGCCCTGAGCAACCTGTTCTGACCTCAAGAGCTGCCTTTGCTCTGAGCAGGAGATTGGACCAGAGATGCCTCCAGGTCTCTGCCTGTGACCCGACGATCACGGAGACTCATAAGTGATCACAGTTCATCGCCTTTTACCAGCCCAACGCATACGAAACGCCAAAAAACGATGCCAAGGGCAGAGCCGGCGGTACACAGGGAAGCTCCCGCCACCTCTGCGGTACCCCCGCGCACAGCACCCCCCCCTCCCCGCATCTGGCTGTCACATCCCTCCCAGCGTGCGGGGCACGCCTGAGGACGGCGAAGGCGGACGGTGCCCCCCGGAGAGCCGGGGTCCGATCCCTCCCGGGGCACCCTGCCCGCGGCGCGCAGCCAGGCGCAGCCCCCCCCCTTCCCGCACCGCCTCCCCGCAGGCACCCCCTGAAACTTTCCGCGGCAGCCTGCGCACGCTCTGCCTCCCCGCCGGGGGGAAAACGTGCCCTCGGCTCCCTCCGTGCAGCGGGGACGGGGAGGCGGGCAGCCTGCCTCCCTCCTCCCCCACGCACCCCCCGCCCCGGCTCGCCCGCCCGCCCGCGGAAGCCTCGCCGAGGCTCCCGCATTGCACCGCCGCGCCGGGGCTCGGCGCTGCCCACCCGCGCCCCCGTCCCCGGCTGGCGGTATGAGCGCCGGCGAGGCGAAGGAGTATCTGGCCCGCAGGGAGATCCCGCAGCTTTTCGAGG